GTTTTTGTAAACCACAATTTACAGGATTTACATATTGTACTCAGTTGCAAACCAGGGTTTTAAACCACAGAAACTTGGGTTCACACATGTGAAATCCCAGGGGTGCAATGTTTTCTCATGTCGAGGGATGGATCGTGCCTTAGAATGGGATCTGAGAATGGGTTGGGGTATAACCCAAACAGTAATGAGTGAAGCCAGGAAAAAATCCACATTTGCTTTCATCTATTAACAATTAAGTATGGTTTAAGACGTTTTATGTAATTTTAAATGCTGTTCACAGCCCAGAGTCGTTATGGTGAGTGGGGCAGCCATATACATCGAATAAATAAAAGAATTACAATTAAATTTATTTACTGATTTTGATTTAAATGGTCATCTCTCTGGCCAAAGCAACTCTGGGCGGTGAAGAGAATCTGAAATTAAAGCAACAATACAAATAAAACTCGGAGAATAGATCATCAGAGAACAGAACCAACAGCTGAGAATTAAAAAAACCCAGAAGATCAAATCAAGCCAGATGAGCCACATTAACGTCCTGACCCAATGCCTGGGCAAACAGCCAGCCTTGAGCAATCTCCAGAAGGCCAACATGGCTGGGCAAATCTAATATTGGGTGGTAAGAAGTCCCAGAGGGCAGGCGCCACAATGTAAAGGACGCTTCCTGGATCCCACAGGATGTCATTTTTTAACTGATGGGACCCAGAGCATATCTCTCCCACCAGACAACCACTACCTTGAATTGCATCCAAAAGCCTACTGGGAGCCAGTACAGTGTATGATGCAAAAGTGTAACACCTGTGGAATGAAAAATGCGCATACAGGTAGTCCTCACTTAACAACCATTTGTTTAGTGACCGTTCGAAGTTACAACGGTGCTGAACAAAGGGACTTACAACCAGTCCTCGCACTTGCAATCATCACAGCACCCCTGCGGTCACATGATTGCGATCTAGGTGCTTGACAACCAGCTTGCACTTACGATGGTTGCAGCATCTTGAGGTTGTGTGATCACCATTTGTGACCTTTCCAGCCAGCTTCTGGCAAGCAAAATCAATGGGGAACTGTGTGATTCGCTTAACAACCACATGATTTGCTTAATGATCATGGTGATTCACTTCATGACCGCTGCAAAAAAGATTGTAAAATTGGGTGTGACTCGCTTAAAAACCACCCTGCTTAACAACAAATTTTCCAGTCCCTATTGTGGTCGTTAAGTGAGGACTACCTGTAACTGTTCACATTGCCACATTCTGGACTAATTGCAGCTTCTACATGTTCTTCAAGGGCAGCCCCATGTAGACTGCAATGCAGTAATCCATATGGAAGGTGACCAAAGCATGAGTGATCGTGCATGGAGTCTCTTGGTCCAGGAAAGGGTGCACCTGGCACACAAGACAGAGTTGTATAAAGGTCCTCCTGGCCACGTCTGCTACCTGGTCCCCAAACAGGAGCTCCAAGTTCAGGAGGACCCCCAAATTGCACACCCGTTCTCTCTGGGGTACTATATCCCCATCCAGGACACACACTAGAATATCAGTCTTGCTAGCTGAGTTGGCTCTCTTTCTAGTGCTCATGGAATTAATTCTTCAGTTGCGTAGTTCATGCTTTCCCCCTTTTGCTATATTTGCACAACACTTCTGACTTGGTCCCTGAATTAACCCATTTTTTCAGTTCATCCAAGACCCTGACCCAGGAACCAGCCAAACGGTTTTGCGTATGCCAAATCGCCCCAGACCCAATTGTGACAAAGCTAAGCCTGTTGTGGGAAGGTGGCTTTGCAGCATTCAGATGACCTGCTCGAGCAGGCTGTGCACGCTCTGCCTAAAAGTTACAATGGAAACAGCTTTCAGAGGTCCTTGGAGGGAGGCACCGCTAAAGCTTTGGAGGGGCTGCATGGGCCATGCGCTCCTGCCCAAGCCACGCAGTGCCTCTCAGTATAAAGCAGGGCCATATCCCCCCTCGGCAGCCCCCCCCCAGTTTGCTTGTTTGAAGAGAAGTCACCTTGGGCCCTCCGTAGGTTCTGGATTTCAACTCCCATCTGCCCAGCCAGCATGGCGATGAGGGAATGATGGGATTTGTAGTCCAAAAACCCACACCAGGGGTGCCTTTTTCTAGCCCGACCGCTTGGCCCCAACAACATGCAAGCATAGTTTTGCGAGTACCTGTTTCTAGTGCTTCTGCTGCTTCGGCTTCCCGCTGCCGGCGCACGGCCCGTTGCTTTTCCTCCAGCCGCTGCTTCTCCACGTTGGCTTCATCCCATCTGCCGTTCTCCATGAGCCTCTGGTCGGGTCTCATGCGGCTGTCCGTAGGAGCAACGCCCTCTTCCGGTTCGTTGAGGGTCAGCGCCAGTTTGGAGAAGAAGTACATACTTTCAGCGTTCTCCCTGGAGAAGGAAGAGCCAGGTCTGACTTTAAAGAGTGGGGCGGGTGGGCACAACCAGGCGCATCCCTGCGTGGGTGTCCAGCCGTGTATGGGCAGCGTGGGGTCATCTACGCTCACCGCACTGCCAAAATACGCCGGGCTGTTTCGGCAGCCCTAGAAAGGCCGAGCCCACAGCTGGACAACCCTTAAGCCCCAAGCCCTGTTGGGAGGACTCACGGAAGGGGGTATTTCTTCCACAGGACCTTGGGGGACAAGGTCTGGTAGACCGTTTTCGGAAGCTTGCCTTCCGAACTGGAGTTTCCCTGGCTGCTTTGCATGATCTTCGAGCACTCCATCTTCTCATCCCACGTGCCAGACATGACGTAGTGTTCGGTGCCATCGGCGTCCATAACCACACCTGTCACCTGGGGAGGAACACCGGAAAGAGCAGGATTCGTGGGGCCTCTCAGCCCCACTAGGTAGAAATCAGCTTCACTGGTAGCCTAAAACGACTTTGACGGAGATGGGCTATAATCACAGAATCTTGCAAGTCTGATTGTGCTGGGATTCTTCCCCCTCCTTATACTCCAGTGCAGTGTTTCTCAACCTTGGCAGCTTGAAGATGTGTGGACTTCAACTCCCAGAAT